AAATTTTCGAACATCAAACGCATCCAATCCTTTCAGTCTAAAGTCCTCCGTATGATAGTCAATGCTCCTTATTACGTTACAAACAAAGCCCTACATCATGACCTTTACATCCCTTATATCCTTGACGTTATTCCATCCCGATTCTCAAATTTTCACATGAACCTAATCCACCATCCTAATCCTTTAGCACAATCCTTATCTAGCTCCAGTCATCCCTACAACCCTTCTCGAAGGTTGAAACGGCAGTGGCCTCGAGATCTCTTGTAAAGACGTCACTGGAGTTCTGGCAATGGCCAGCTTCTCCACTTAAGTCATGAGTGTTTGTGGTTTTAGTGCCCTCTCTCAGTCTCCACCGGACTGGTAATGCCGGCGATGCGGTTGAGAGAGAAGCGCTGGGATCTCTTAGAGTCTCGCTTTGTCCTTCTCACACGTGGGGGAAAGGGCTGGACTCGGAGATCTCTTACCTAATTGCAAATATTGTATTTAAGTATGAATGTTTTTCTATTTATTTCTATTAGTTATAATTTATTTAATTTTGCTGCGAATTTCTGTATTTCATTTAATTTTAACTCTTAGTTACATTTCCTAGTTTATTATAGTTTTTGCCTTTGTTATATAGATTTTTATATTTTATATTTTTTTATTTATTTACTTATTTATTATTATTATTATTTTTTTTTATGTATTGTATATATGGTATGAATGTGCCTCTCTCAGCCTTAATACTCAGTGCCCTTAAGTGTGGCAAAATGTATTATTACTCAATAAACAGATAGATAAAAAAAAAATTGTTTTCAGTAAATTTATTTCAAATAAAAAGTATTTTGTATCTTAAGTAAAAGAAACAGAATACAAATACATTATACTTTCTAGTGGACGATCAGCTTATGATACAAGGAACCATATGAAATACAAAATAAAATATATTTTTATATTGTAGTCTCTTGAAAATAAAATACAAATGCTGTTTTTTGTTTTTTAAAATTTTAAAATGAAAATGCAATTACATAAAATTTATGTTATATTTTATTTGAAATACTGCCCAAGTCTAAATAATATTATAAATGAATGTAACTTTTTTTTTTATATATTTATCATATCCAATTTTTTAAATATTTTTTCTTTCCCTTCAAATCTACTTATTTGTTTGTCTTTTATGATTTTTGGAAAGATATCCTTCTTGTTATCTGTAATCCAGATATTATAGTATTATTTGTCATATTAAGACACTTCCATTTTTGAAATGTACTGTAAAAAAAATAATGCCGCTTCTCTATGTCGGCATATATATAAAACATTTTCATTGCATTTACACTTTATATATTTATATCCATAAACTCAAAACATTCAAGCTTTTTATGTTCAGAATTCAGAATTTATAATTTGAAGAATTTTACTCAATCTTAAAAAGATTCGAAAGTGAAGATGCATATTCGAACCTGTACTAATTTCTTCTAATCTTCGAAGCGGAGTAAAAATTTTTCCAAAAGAAAAACAAATCGTTATCATGCCCTAGGGTGTAATTCTAATCGGACCGGGAGAAATGGAATTTTTCATGGTGTTGGGGTAAAAAAGTCCATTCCTCCGGCTTATGAATTTTCATTGAAATTATCTTTTAAAAATTTTGCGAGGCTCGGCTAGGAGATCTGACGTTGGTGTAACGAGCAATAACTGCAGGAATAAGACGGGCTTCTCATTACTCTAATGAAGCCTTCCACAATGGTCGCCCTCTCCCAATTGTCACTTTTTGTCAAGAGCCCCCCTTCTCTGTAATTTGTTTGTCTTGAGGCCCTTCTGTTGTGTTCTCCGTCTCAGAGGGTTCCTATCTGCTTGTCAATAATGAAAACTTCTCTCCGTCCGTGCGGTTTCGTTACGGTATCCAAGGGGCCCTTGATATTTGCCGTCTTGAATATTAAAATAGTCGAAGGGAAAATTGTATCTTTGTCCATATTTATGTAGTTTACAGATTGATTTGCTATACTATTATATAAAAGAGTATCCCATGTTTTGTTTTTAACAGTTACCCATGAAAACTATTGTGGTATGATAATATTGCTTGCAGTACAGGACTTCAATAGATCGAGGACAGAAAAATAAATGCTTGATTCTTTAAATAGCTACTTAAGACCCGATTATTTTAAGGATTACCTGACAACTATGATATTTCACGACAACTAATATCTCTCGCTGAAACCTGCACCTAGTGACTCACAGCAGTGCCATCCGCTTCTTCGCCAGTCTGCTTTTCTGCCTATGAAACGAAATGAAAAAAATAATTTTATTCTGGGACTAAAGTCCTCTAAGAATAATAATAACATGGTACAAAACATCAATCCGTTAGTCTAGTTTGACAAAATAGTAAGAGTTATTTGAATGCTAATTTCAATTGTTGTCGCAATCATACTTGATTAACAATAGTAAACACTTTAAAACTAGTACATTTTATATGGTTTACATGTACACAAGAAAAGGTAAACAAATAAATGAAATAAATTCAAATGAAACTTGTTGATTAATTGTTAGTGAGCAGTTGTAATTACAGAATCCAATAAGTATTTAATAGGTACAGAAGTTTGAAAATGAAGTAGATGTTGGAATAAGAGTTTTTTGAAGGAATTTAAGGATGAGGATTGTCGTATGATTTGCTAAAGTATGTAGTATTATGAGAAGGGATATAGGTCTGGTATTAAGAGAGTGGATAGGAGGAACGTAGAGTGACGAGTTCCATGATACAGGGAGCATTTTTGGATCTTAGGACCTGGAATAGGAAAACACCAAGAAGGAATTGTCGGCGGGAAGTAGGATAAAGCCACTTCAACTCGGTATATCAGTAGTGAACATGAGAACGCCTGGGAATTCCAAAGATGAATCTTATAAAACAATTCATAAATCTGTTCAATTTCACCTCCAGTCATTCAGGCAGCACTCCATACACGAAGCAACCTTAGTCAAAGTAGGGGAAAACGAAAGAGGTTACCAGGAGCTGTCTATTTTTTGAATGAGGAATAGAATCACGGAATCTTAGGAATTGTTTAAGAACAGTTATGGATTTTCGGCTTATCTGGCAAATATGGTTATTCCAGGAAAGGTTCTAACCAAAGACAACTCTTAGGTTTTTGACTGTTGGGAAAAAATGGATAGTGCGGTTATTCAGGCAGAGTAGAGGAGAGTAAAAAAGGGAACTTATAAGATGCCTGGTGATACGATGATATTTAGTTGTGAGAAGGTCGAGAAGGGAAGAAATGGTACTGGATTCATTGGGGCAGAAAAAGCAAAATGAAGTGTACTATTTGTATCATTTGAGCCTGTGAATGCAAGGATCTGCAAAATGAGACTGGGGGGAAGATTTAGGAATGTCACCTTAATATCTGTGTATGCGCCAACTGAGGACAGTGAGGACGAGATAAAACTCGACTTCAATCAGGATCTTGAGAGGACTTTTTTAGCAACTCCATGTTATGATATGAAAACTGGTTTGGGTGATCTAAATGCACAAATAGGAAAAGAAAGTTTTGTTGGTGCAGTATCTGGTCGATTCACGATTTATAGTGAGACAAATACTAATGGAAAGCTTCTTTGTCAGTTTGCGGAAGCCAATAATATGGTCATAAGGAGCACTACGTTCGATCACAGAAATATACATTTAGGAACATGGAAATCCCCAAACGGAGCAATTACACAGATTGATCATGTATTGATTCAGAAAAGGCATGCAACGTCAATTATTGATGCCAGAGCAGCGAGGGGACCAAACTGTGACTTCGATCATTATATGCTTAAATTGAAGCTTAGACAGCGTCTTGAAGTGATAAGAACTGATCAACGGCACTGTAGGAAAAGGTGGGAGATTGATAAGCTGAAAGACCCTGAGATTGCTGAGAGATTTAAGACATCACTAAATAGAAATCTGATAGACAGTCAGGACGATGAAGAGGAAGATTGTGTAGACAAAAAATGGAAGAGAATTAGAGGAGCTATTGAAAAGTGAGCAGAGTAGGAGATAGGTGAGAGGAGTACCCAAAGGAGGGAGGAGTGGTTTGATACTGAATGTCTTGAGGTCCTGCGTGAAAGAAATCAATGTAGGACGGTGATGTTGCAGCGCTCTACAAAACAAACTTCTACGGCATATAGAGAAAGTGGAAAAAAAGCAAAGAAGGTTATTCGAAATAAGAAACGGGATTTTATGAAAAGGAAAATAGAGCAGATTGAGGAATTGAGGACAACAAATGAGACTAGGAAATTTTATGGAGCAGTTACGAGTGAGGAGCCCTGAGGAACACCTTGTGCTAATTGGAGGGGTGTTAATGGCGATTTATTAGAAAATTACAACTGTGTGTGAGCAGTGGAAGGAGTGGAACCATTTTAGAATAATATTTGAAATGTGCAGCCTTTGGAGTTCGGAAAGAAAGAGATTATGATTGACGGAATCGAAGGTGTTTAAGCAACTTTTCCAATTAAGGCAAATAACTCTAATGAGTTTTAATAAGGCAACATTCAAAACTATGGGCAAAATCTAATTTTATGAAGTGGACTGTTTCTTTTTTTTTTGGATCCTCCCCTTCCTCGCCGTTTAGGCTATACGGAGTTTTCCCGGCAAGGGGGTGTGGGCGGGGATCGTTTGGATACCTGGAGGATCAACCCTCAGGTGCCAGTGGTGTTCGCTGTCGATGCAAATGAAGAAGTGACTCCCTTATCCTTGCAAATGAGTCTTATCTTTTAGATCCTCTGATCCTCTGATCAGGTCCTGGAAGTTTATCTATTATGCTGGCAAGCCGCCACTTTTCCAGTTGGAACATATGTCAACGCATGATCCTGGAGAACGGCAAGAGGGTGTCTCTTAGCGGATTTAATTTAATAGCTGTCTCCCAAATACCACCGAAATGAGGAGATGCTGGAGGAGTAAAGGTCCACTTTATACCCGTCCAACTTAAATGATTAGAAATTGTTTGAAACTGGCCCTTAACAAATTGATAAAGCTCCTTCAACTTCTTGGACTTCTTCTACAGGCTCAACCGCAACAGGTTCATTTTCCTCATCTCCCAAACTTCTTCTTTTTCAGGTACAAATTGTTCTTCATCTTCACTTATCAGCTTCCTGCTTCTACTGATGACCCCCTCTTCAGTATCGGAGCCGGTAACCTCAAGGTAACTCATCTTCTCATCAAATGGCCCAACTAAATCAATACTATTTTATTATTTGTTTAAATATTTCTTTTATAATGTATGAATCTTTGGCAGTAAATTTGGAGTTTTTAAATCACCTTCTTTTTTTTTTTTGTTTGTTGTGTATCGTAGGTAATTGGAAGATGTGAGGGATGCAGTTTATTCCCGTATTAGAATCTCTTGTAAGAAGTTTGGCCGCTTTTTTAATGGATACCAAATCCACTCATTATAATAATACTGGGATTTAAATTGCTGAGTTTATAGCAATATTACGAACAGGCTTAGAGGTTTTAGGGAACACTGATGTATACATATTTTTTATTTTTTCACTATATTTCGGCACCTTCATCGGCTCTTTTCGGATCAAACAAGCTGGAGATTAGTATGTATTATTTTGTTCCACGAGGCATCAGTGGTTTTCTTACCAAGCTACTGAGCCTAGGCCACGACATTAATCCTCAATACCCCACTTGTAGTGTTCTGGAGACTGTTGAGTATGTGATAACGACCTGCACTGCAAACGATGGATTAAGAGCCATATTGATGATAACGAGATTTATATAATGTTTTAGGAAGAGTGTCCTCGTTTGGTGAGTGAGGAGAACTTTTTTTTAAAGGATTTCATTCCTGAATGGAAGACCAAATTAACAAGAAAGAAGACTACCGGCGCCAGGAAGGCCGCTAGAGTTATATATATATATAATATATATATATATATATATATATATATAGAGAGAGAGAGAGAGAGAGAGAGAGGAATATATTCAAAAGATGTATGAAATGCTTTGAATATAACTTTAAAAAAATAACGTGTACGGCGTTAAACTTGCAGGAGTGGGTTTTCCCACTTCTAACAAAAACTCTTTCCACGCTTCTTTGATTGAACAGCCTTGATGAAAGCCTGAACTTCGGGCCGAAACTTTGGCAAATAAATAAATAAACATATATATATATATATATATATATATATATATATATATATATATATATATATATATATATATATATATTATATATATATATATATATGTATATATATATATATATATATATATATATATATATATATATATATATATATATACATATATACAGCCGAAGTTCAGGCTTTCATCAAGACTGTTTCATCAAGGCATTCAAGAAAATATTGTCCAACTTGGAGAGCACTTTGAAGGTGCGTAACACTTTCAAATATATATATATAGATATATATATACTATCCAAGTTGGTCAATATTTTCTGAATAAATCAATTTATTAGTGGAGGATAGAGTTAAAAGCTCCGATTTTTAAACAACCTCAAATATTATGTAGAAAATGACTTATATGAAAATATAAGTTGGTAAAATAAAAAGAAAATATTTCCTAAATAAATTATACAATTAATTCATTTTATACTTGTTCAAGTATATTTTTTTCGCAAATCTATTCTGATTAAGTTGAAATTTACCATATCGTGGTTGCAAGAGCTGACCTCCATTCTGGGACTGGGAATCTGAGTGATTCCCGAGGTATATATCAAGAGAAAATAAATGAAATGAATGAAAATTGGATAGAGTAAATGAAAGGACTTCATCATCTGCTACAATTTGGCTGGAACTAGTGATTGGAACGGAATTCGTTACAAAGCAAGTTCAAGAGACAAAGTATGTAGAAAATGAAAAAAAAATTAGCATTTAATTGCCATGAATTGCCATAAATGACAGTCAAAGAAACACATCAAAGAACAGTTGTCCAATTAATTAGTAACCAATCAGGACCATTTTTGCTTTTTAATTAAATTAATGAAGGGAGTGTATTAGTAAAAAAAAAAACTCTGGACAAGTCTACATTGTATTTGATAATGTATTACAGATCCCGTTTTCAGCTCTCATTAGCATTGGATTTTTTTAATAAGGTAGTAAACGAATGATAATATCATGGAGGAATGACGAATCTCAATTTCAAATTTTAAAACCTTACTAAAATTACAGAAATATACGGCACAACAATCCATTCCTGAATCAGAGCCCTCTCCAAAAGTTTTTTCAATTCATTGCTTTTCTGTTCAGCAGCCATTCCAGTTCGCTATTCCAAGAATATTTCTGGTATCTGCTTAGACGCTATCTAGCCATCTTGTTTTGAGACTTTCCAATCTTCTAGCTTGATAAAGAGTTTCTAGCTATTTTTTTAAGATTTCGTTCTTATCCATCCTGGCGAGTTGTTCTATCCATCCGAACCTCCTCACACTGATCTAACTAGCAACATCTACCTTCTTGAAGAGTGCGTAGGTCTCCTTATTGTGTATTCTTCTACAGGTATTATCTTTCCGTATTGGATCGAAAATTCTCCTTAATATTGTGCTTTCAAATATCATCAGCTTATTCCCATCATGATGAAAACAAACTGCAATTACTAGTAATTAATAATAGTAATTAATAACTTTAAGTAACATATATTTCCGATTTATAAATAATTCAATAAATCAAATGCAGTCTATGATACACTAGCAGAATGTTACGATTTGAAAGCAATCTCAAGCTAACTACTGTTCATGGTTGTGAGCCTAGGAGGAAGAAAACCCTAGGAGGAATTTGGGCAAGTTCGAGCCAGGAATAAAGTGATACAACTTGGGGAAGAAGGAAAAGGAAAACAAAAACATGCAGTAGGACTAGTTCCTCAAGAAGTAGAAAAAGGAAGAAGAAGATGGTCCTAGATTCAGATTCAGACCGACCTAAGAAAACCAACATTAAAAGGCCGAAGATTATTATATATGGATTCTCTGAGGAAGAAGGAGAAACACTGAAACGGACAAGAGGGAAGAAGATGAGTTACCTTGAGGTTACCGGCTCCGATACTGAAGAGGGGGTCATCAGTAGAAGCAGGAAGCTGATAAGTGAAGATGAAGAACAATTTGTACCTGAAAAAGAAGAAGTTTGGGAGATGAGGAAAATGAACCTGATGTGGTTGAGCCTGTAGAAGAAGTCCAAGAAGTTGAAGGAGCTTTATCAATTTGTTAAGGGCCAGTTTCAAACCATTTCTAACCATTTAAGTTGGACGGGTATAAAGTGGACCTTTACTCCTCCAGCATCTCCTCATTTCGGTGGTATTTGGGAGACAGCTATTAAATTAAATCTGCTAAGAGACACCCTCTTGCCGTTCTCCAGGATCATGCGTTGACATATGTTCCAACTGAAAAAGTGGCGGCTTGCCAGCATAATAGATAAACTTCCAGGACCTGATCAGAGGATCAGAGGATCTATTTGATATTCATCTTCAATTTGAGTTGAAGAAGAATATTGTTTTGCTTTACATCTAAGCAAAACTACTTTATTTAAAAACTATGTTTAGAAACAAAAAGATAAAACTGTTGCTTGAAGTATCTCTAAAATATCATATTATGAGAGCAGTACTTAAAGTTCAGTAACTTTAAAACTTACACAAACAAGAGCAGAGAGAACTTCATTTAACTATCAACACAAATCCTTCCTAACTTAACGGAAATTGTTTAATTTCCTTTGGCTTATAACAAGCGCGATGTGCCAGAGGAAAATAACTTCGGCAGAATTAGATCTCAGAATAGAATACAACTCCAATTCTTTACCGAAAACTTTTATTAGAAATCAATGGTATTACTTGATGGATAATATTTAAAAAAATATATATCTGGGGTGTCGAGTGTCACAAAAATTACCTCAGCCTTGGTTGAGGAATCCAATACAGTCTTATCTTTCCTAACATTAGCATTACTAGGATTTCACATTTTTTTTTCTTTTTTTTTTACGGTTTTCTTTTCTTTTCTTTTCTTTACAGGACATGTTGACAGTCAGCAATATCTCTTATAAATAAATTAGTACATCGATGTAAATTAGTACGTAATTAGTTTGTAGTAGTTTATCTGTTGGTCAACTGTTGGCAGGTGTAATTCAGTATGTATGTTTTGTTGGTCACGTACCAAGATGCTTTCGTTATGGGTCGTAATAATTTTGATTGGGAAGTTGAAAAGTACATTCCAATGAACAACGGTAGAATACTTCATGTAAATTCTATAAAACATTGTTGTATAACGAAAGAGATATTCTGTATAAATAAATAAAAAATTCTTTTTACTCCAGAAAGAGGAAAACTGACAGAAGATAAAAGGGAAATCGAGGAGACAAATGACATAACGAGATCCGAAGAGCCGCTGGCGTTGGCTCCTGTGAAATTCCTCTATCCTCCCGCCCGATTGTGTATAAATCCTTCCGATTTGTATTCTTTTGATAGTTTTTATTCAATGGTAAGCTCTTATTTATTGCTTTCTTTTGATAGAAATGTCCTACATTTCAAACCTAGGACATGGTTTCTAGCTTTCGGAAATTATTCTTGAGAAAATATATTTTAATTTTTTTTTTTTTATTATTCACTTTTTTGGTGTTGAATTTTACTACTCCTTTTGAATTCCAATCTAACTTTTTTCCTATAGCCCTCTTTATTAATATTTTTTTTTTTTAGTTTTCTGAATAATTTTAAAAATAATAATAATAATGACTGACTTTTGTAATGTATGAAGGTCATCTTATCAAAGTATATTGCTTGCGGGGTCAGAAAACATCGAAAATGTCCTCCTTTAGAGCCATTCTGGCAGTGTTCTTCACTCAGGTTCAGACATTGACGATTTAGTCTAAATCCATGGATTATGGCTGCTCAGAGACAGCACGTGCACGAGGATCTGCTTTCTTTTGCAGAAACGAACCACTAGGGGGATACTGAAATCCTGAAAAACTAAATTAAAGTACACAGTGGAGAAAATACGCCCGTAAGGTATTTATAAAGTGCTTTTTGAGAGTTTTAAATTTTAAAAAACTAGTCCGCTTAGAAGGACTTTTTGCCAAATTCTGAAAGCAACCTTGCGATAGCCACCGTCAGAATATATGTAACTATGCAGTTTTCTTTAACTTAATTAGTTTTTTGTTAATTTTTTTATGTTTTACCACTAATAGTTTCATGACACCGGGGTACCTCCACAGGTTGGCTGGTTACTGTAAGTTAGGTTTTTGTATTTTTCTTTCATATTTTCAACTTCAATTAGCTCCAGTAATAATTGTACCAAAAGAACAAAAAGATAATTAAACCTGTACTTCTTGAACCACTAAAGTGTCTTGGATTCAGTAATATTTAGGGAAAGTCCTATTTCAAGACCAATGGTTGTGCATGAAGGATATCGGGCCATGATCACGCTCAACTGCTAGCCTCCCTTAATTAATTATTTTAAGTAAGAGTAGCCACTTTGAAGAGGCTGGATGTGCCTCAGGAGGGTCTCCCTATTCCCGAGTCTTCCTACGGCAGATGAAACAGAATACTTAATTAATTTACCATAAGCCGGGATTCGAACGTGCGATTCCGATCATGAAAACTGCCTTACCACTGAGCTACGTCGCTCTCCCTAAATAATTATATAAAAAAATTGATATCAATAAAAAATAATTATAACAGGTAATTATTTATAAATATGAGAGTAAGCGTCTGAGTTAATTATTTTGACTTTAACCTTCACGTATTTCTAATAAAAGTTTTCGGTAAAGAATTCGAGTTGTATTCTATTCTGAGATCTAATTTTGCCGAAGTTATTTTCCTCTGGCACATCGCGCTTGTTATAAGCCAAAGGAAATTAAACAATTTCCGTTAAGTTGGGAAGGATTTGTGTTGATAGTTAAATGAAGTTCTCTCTGCTCTTGTTTGTGTAAGTTTTATAGTTACTGAACTTTGAAGTACTGCTCTCATAATATGATATTTTAGAGATACTTCAAGCAACAGTTTTATCTTTTTGTTTCTAAACATAGTTTTTAAATAAAGTAGTTTTGCTTAGGTGTAAAGCAAACCAATATGCTTCTTCAACTCAAATTGATATTATTTGTAAACGCAGGTATTTTCAGTACTGGTACATTTATTTTTAAAATATTATTTATTTTTTTAAGTATTCATTTATATTGTTGTTATGTGTTGTTAATGACAACTTGTTTGCCTATCATTAACCTCATTCTTTGTGCTTCTCGTCTTTGATAGAGGAAACCTTCAATTGCACCAGATATTCATTATCAGGTATGTTTTTGCTTCCTCACTGCCGAAGGTAAGTAAGCTTTGTATTTTTAATGAGTTTTAGTGAGTGCTGGAAATTCTTCCGATTCTTTCCTTTACTTTTTTAATAATAAAATAAAACTCTCAATTATAAACATAATGTACTAGGGTTATGTTTTTTTCCATTTATATACTAGAAGTTAAGGTTTAAAGTTCAGATATTTCTGATTCCCATAAATGTTTAAAAAATGTAAGACTATAAAAATGCCCCCAAAGCTGGTTAAAACGTAGGCCACGGTGTTGCGAAAATCCATCATTTATTATCATTATAATTAAAGTAAATATTATACCTCAAAGTTACGCTACATATTCGCTATTTTTTTATTAAATCTAATGCTTTATTGATTAATTTAAACAATATCTTCTCCTTCCGGTTGGAAGCTCATATTCCAGACAACATGTTATGAAGAAAAGGATACAAATTTGATTTACCCATTTCTCCTAAAAGTATGCAATTAATGATGCGATGTACTGCACATTGCATAGTTGAAATGTTACTTGATGCATCTAAAAATCTAGAAAAAAAATAACAAAATTCATCTAAATCGGACTGTTGTTAGCAAAGATGAAGTCAACTATATTTTGGACACATGTTTTAGTTTCAGACTTTGGCATATTCGTATTCGCTAATATAAATTAGAAATGTATTCATAAACATGGTTCTCTAGGAATGTAAATATGAATATATTTATATTGAAGTAAAGAAATACAATTATGGATATTTTGTATTTACATCGGAAGTACAAATATTCAAATTCTTACTACTACACAACTAACTATAAATATAAATGCGGCTGTACTCACAGCAATGAACGTGAAAACGGTTGTATTCACTCAGTCATAAATGAATATGCTTGTATTTACATATATGAATGCAAACACTTTCACATAATCTTATGAATGAACAATCTTATTCATTAAAAAAACATTAATTTTTATGAAATTCATATCTCAGAATTTATTGCGTTTGTATTTTACAGGTGTGAAGAACAGTCTAGTTACATTTACATAAACATAGTATATGTGTAATACAGTTTGAAATATAAATGTGAGCATTTATATTTACAAGTATAATTGTAATACATTACATATTTTTATTTCGATATAAATATATTCTTAGGGAACCATGCTTGTGAATACATTTCGTATTTGTATTTATGAATATGAATATGCCCAACTCTGTTTGGTTTTTTGTTTAGAAAGAACCGTTATAATTGAGGAAGTATAAATAAATTTATTCCTCTCTCTTTTAATTTATTGAATTTGCTTATAGTTGTATCATATCATATTGCCATTTTTTCAACTATTCGAAATATTCGTTCGGGTCAATTAGACTTAAATATTATTTTAAAGAATTATTGGAGTGTTAGTCGACTGTTCTACATATCATGGGTGATAAATATTCAAAACGCAGTTTTTTTTTTTTTTCTTTTAAATTTTTAAAAGAAAAAATACTGCGTCCTTATTATTTCATTATTTTTAAGGATTTTTTAAATAAGTTTTCGCTAGCTCCATATTTTTTTAAATATATATATATATATATATAAAGAAGTTGGCTATTCTATTAGAGATGATGGTTAATTAAGGTTGTGGAAGGAGCTGGTTTGAATCGTGGCCAATACATTTTGAGGAGTAGATTGGCTTCTTAATTAAGGCTGGCCTCCTCAATAAAGAGGCTACTCGGACCTTTCATAATTGGCAAATTTGTTGGTCAAGTGGATTCATTGTCCAATTTTCCTATCTCAAATATTACAATACCTACCTAATTATTTACAATTAAATATTTTTCTGTTACTGTTAATATTGAAATATTTCGATTTTTAAAATTCTTAAGGCGCGTTTTGCACCTTTTTTGTGGAGAGTGGGTTAGATTGAACCATCAGATCTCCGATGTGTAACGATCGGGTAAAGTCGGCTGGAGTAGACTAATTGAAGTATTTTTACTTTTACTTATGTATATATGTAATATATACTAAGCGTAAGTATTGCGATCATGAAAATTTTTTAATCTGAGGTTTTCAATGGAAACACACATTTTGGGGTACCCTGAGTCCAA